ACAATATGCAATGTATTATTGAAACTGTCCTACTAACCTGTTTTGAAACTATCTCATTCTACTTCTTTCTCAATAAAATTACTATAAAAGGGGGGGCTAGGAATATAGCTCAACATGAAGGCTTCTAGCTCAATCCCTATTATTATTTTTAAAAAGGAAGGGAGAGAAAGAGAAAGGGATAGAAGGAAGAAAAAAGATGTGCTGGGGCTTGTTTACCAGGGACAGAGGTGCTCAGCTGGAATCTCAGCACTGGGGAGGCTGAGGCAGGAGGATCAGAACTTTAAGCCCAGCATATACAGTTTAGTGACTTAGTGAGACTGTCTCAAACCGTTAAAAGAGGGGTGGGAATACAGTTTGATGCAAAGAGCTTGGATTCAATTTCCAGTACTGCCAAAAAAATAAATGTAAAAAAAATTATCAAAATTCCACTATTTTTGGAATGGAGAGAAAAACTACTTGGTAATACCAAGAGGTCTTTTTTTGATTCAAAATGTGTAGAGAATAAAATTGATTTCAAGTTTATGAAGTGCAGGGATTGGTATATAGTAGGTGGCTCAATAAAAATTTGTGGAATAATATAGCTGCAGTTCCTTATTTTGAGACAGGGTTTTTTTGTTTTGTTTTTTTAATGTATTTGGTACAGGGTCTCACTACGGCTTGGACTCGGGGACTTGTAGTGATCCTCCTGTCTCAGCCTCCCCAGCACTGGGATTATAGACATGCAACACCACATCTGGTCTCAGTGGCCGGCTCAGTGTACCCGGGGGTGGGGCCAGCATAGGTTGTGGTGCTGGGAATCAAACCCTGGTCTCTGCACTTGCCTAAGCAGGCGCTTAGTCCTCTGAGCTATCTCACCAGCCCTGAGAAGTTAATCTTTACTAAATTGCCCAGAATAGGCTTGAATTCAGGATCTTTCTGCCTCAGCCTTTGAGAATGCTGGAATTACAGGTGTTGCCACCATACCTATCACCATACCTCTAAGAGTTCCTTTTGGTATATGTGGAGATGTTGGCTTTTTTGTTTTTGTTTCTTTTCCCCGGATAGGTTCCCATTTCATAGTTCAGGCTGGCCTTGACGTTGTGGCGATCCTCCTGCCTCAGCACTGGCATTACAGGTGTGCATATCAACCTGGCCAGGATCTTCTTTAACTGCACTGTTTTCTCCGATTTCCTCATGTCTGCTAGCCATGTCTTACTAAATGAGCATTGAGAACTAGGGTAACAATATATGCTTTAATGTTTCAGATCATCCAGGCCTAGAAAATATGGAACAGATTGAAAAATTTCAGGAAAAGGCTTATGTGGAATTCCAGGATTACATAACCAGAACATATCCAGATGACACCTACAGGTATGTAGAAGTTAAATTGTATCAATTAAGTTTACTGAAAAATACTTTATGAATTAAATTTTTCACTATTTTCTATTCTCAGAGGAGTTAAATGTTTTTTAGTGAAGCTTGACCTTTGCATAGCTAATGCTACTGAAAATAATGTGGCTGAGGGTGTAACTCTTGAGTGCTTCCCTGGTATATGCAAGGCCCTGGGTTGGCTGCTCAGCACCACCAAATCCATCCATCTATCCATCTTGTCAGTCTCCACAAGAGTGCAGGGGCTGGAGGTTTGGCTCATTGCTTCAGTGCACAGCACAGAGCAAGGCCACAGCACGAGTGCATTGTGGGAAGCACCTCCAGTGAATGTTTCAGTGGCTCCCTCCCGAGTTGTATGTAGTGGAAGAGACAGAGGCTAGGGAACTTGTGTAGGTCATACTACATGGCAGAGCCTGACTTGGAACTTCGGTAGGCTAACTAGAGCTGAAGCTCTGCAGCTGAAATAATGGGTTTAATTAGCAAAGGGGAAAAGAATGAAACAGACTACATACAGCTTTATGGTTTTGAAACATATTTTGAAATTCTTCAGGTTAATTCCAGTGTCCTGTGGGAGGAAAAAACAATCTTTTTTGTTTTTTTTAATCAACTTTAATTTTGGAAAAAAGGACAGTACAGCAGAGTTGTAAAAGCACATAGCTGTTCAGGTTGGAGAGCCTGGATTTGACTTGCCACACTTACTAGCTGCACGGTCTTGAGCAAGTTGTTTGACTTTGTTCCCTTATCTGTAAAATGAAGATGATAGTAGTATCTACTTTTTAGATACAACAGGCCCCCTTATTCATGATTATCTTCAGTTAGTCTTGGTCCAAAAACAAATGGAGAATTCCAGAAATTATTCAGTTTTAAATTACACAGTGTCTGGGCAACATCATGGAATCCCCGGCTGTCCTCTTCCACCCTAGCCATGAGTGCACCGTCCCTTTGTGTAGCATTTCCAGGTCAGTCTCTTCTGTGCCACATAACACCTTATTAGTGTGCACGCACAGCACTGAAAACAGGATCCATGGCTTCAGGCATTCACTGTGGGTCTTGGAACTTATTTCCCACAAAAAAAGGGGGGACTGTTATGCTGTGAGGATTAGATCAGTTAATGTGTATGGTTATGATTTCTGCACTTGGGAGGCTGAGGCAGGATTGAGAGTTCCTGCCTATATTTAGGAATGAGTCTTCAGGGTCTCACTACATAGATCGGACTCCTAGTGATTCTCCTGTTATCAGCCTCCCAAGTGCTGGGATCAAACCCCGGCCAGTGCACTGTGCCTAAGCAGGTACTTTAGTCCTTTGAGCTATCTGGCCGGCCCTTCAGTTCCTTAAAATTTTAAAAGTTGCTTGTGTTGAGGAATTGACCCCAGGGAAGAGAGTTGCTTTTGTTGTTACGCCAATGAATGCAGTATTTACAATTTCTCTCCTTTTGGGCATGCTCTTCATTGCAGGTGCTTTGATCCAAAACTGTCTCAGCTTTCAGGTTCCTGCTTAATATCGTTGCCTAGAAACTGGCAGGAATCTCTCCACCTTTATAGCACGTGGTGGGGAGGCAGGGAGTGAGTGGTTTGCACATAGTCACATACAAGGGGGTAGGTAAATGAGGATTTGAAGCCAGTGGTATTGATTCCATGTTCCGCCATCTTCCCAGTGACTCTAGCCTATTATGACATTTCTGGTACGACTTTTTACAACAAAACCAAGGTCTACAGTTTGAATTACAATAATTGAATGTATGTATCCTGGCAACACAGAACATTGCTCTTCTTCGGATATGAAACGAATTGGGGAGCCAGTCTTACACGGGTAGGCTCCCTGTGCTTTAGTAACTCAGCTCCATGGTCTTCGCAGCTGCATGAGGCTATACAGTGTTACAGCAGAGGTTGAGGCCTCCCATGGATTCATCTGCCACCTTTCCTACAGCCTCAGGTGCAAGCATCTCAAATTTGGGGTTTGCTTTTGAAAATTAAGGTAGGCCACAAGTAATAAACAGGCAGGGATTACTGGCATTTTTCTACCAGCTCTTGTTTTGATTGACAACCTTGGTTTTCCTCCCTTTTCCCCTTTTCTTTTAGGCTGTCCAGACTGCTGCTCCGGTTGCCAGCCCTGCGGCTGATGAATGCCACCATCACAGAAGAGCTGTTTTTCAAAGGCCTTATCGGGAATGTACGGATCGACAGTGTTATTCCGCACATTTTAAAAATGGAGCCTGCGGACTATAACTCACAAATAATCGGTCACAGCATTTGAAAGCTGTGCTCACAATGTATAAATTTATTGTTCCTTCCTGGAACACAAAAGAATACCAAATTAAACCCATTGCTTCAAGGGTATCTGGAAATTTTGACTTTAAAAAGTTACCAAAATCCAAGGTATTTTTACTTTAGCTTCCTTAAGAAGAACTTTTGAAGTGACGGGACAGTCAGCAAAAGTTAGGTTTCCCTTTATGTTTCTGTTTTATATTATAAAACAAATAAATTAGTCTTTTCCCCTGAATTGTGTTCTATTCATATTTAACTTTATTATGAACTAATATACTTACTGGTCATTATCCCTAAGGAGAAATTCCTTGTATTTTAATTCTCCATAATGTAATGTTGTAATCTCCATGTCAAAGATTATTTTATGCTCAATGGTATGATAATATTAGAACTAGAGGAAATAATAATCAAATATATATTTTTTTGTCTTTGTAAATTCATAATATTCTTAGCATATTTTACTCATTGCTGGCAATGAGACGTAGGCTATTCATGACTTTTAATGTTGTGTTTTATTAGTTATAAGCACTTTTTATTTAGGCAGCAGAAAACTGGTTTTGAGAATACAACAGAGTTTATTTGTTAGTATTTTTTGTGTTTACTGCTGTGTATTAGTTAAATATGGTAGCTTCTAAGCCCAAAATATTTCACTTCTTCAAAATGGGTACTAAAATGGTTGCTCTTGTATATCCCCCGGAAGCACCCGAACTTCTCTTCTGCTCATACCTGTGCTGTAGCTTCCTCACTCTTCCTTGTTCCTTGGGGTTTAGCTGGTTCCTTTCAGGTCATTGGAGGAGCTGGTCCAGGTTGTTCAATAATAGACATGTCATAGCCAGTTTGTGTTTTCAGAAATATGTATGGGTTGAACATTTTCAAGCAGTTGATAGTTTTTGAAGGAACATGTGTGATTCTTTCATTACAAAGCAGCAGTCTGAAGGCTCAGCCTGAAGCCATGTTGCCTCCACAAGGAAAGCATTTTCTGTGTTGTTCTTTTTGGTTTTGGGGACAGGATCTTGCTTTGTAGTTCAGGCTGGTCTGGAGCACACCTATGTTGCAGCCATGAACGTGTGACGATCCTCCTGTCTCAGGCTCTCCATGCTGGATTAGTAGGCGTACTGCACCACACCCACAAAAGCATTTTATCCTTGGAGTCCCCCACAGCAGTGTTACCAGCAAATCCATCACTGTTTGGTGTTTCTTTGCTCTGATTTCATGGTGAGTTCTTTTGGTATTGGTACCTGTTGATTTTCAAAACACAGGAAGAGTTTATTGACTCTATAATGACTACATTTTTAATAAAGACTTTTGTAGTAGAACAGTGTGGATTTTACTGATGACTACTTTATAGTCATTTTTTAAAGTATCAACATTTTTTAAAAGTATCAGTTTAGTCTCCAACAACTTTTTAAGTAAACCTTTCTCAGTTTAAATCATGATTTTTGTCAACAGCTTTATTTATAATTCTCAGCTGGAGAAAACTACACTTAGTATAGGACATTCAAATGAAAAAGTCAGGGTTATGCCTTTGTAAACCAAGACTTCAGAAAAATCCCTTAATGTACTAATGGCTAATTAAGATATTTCTTTTAGGTATTTTTTTTCCTGGTTAAGTCTGTAGTTATATATGGAAGTGTTAAACTATATTAAAATGTGACTTGTATTACAACGTTCTGTATTCTACCAATATATTTCATTTCAGTGTCCTGTTCTTCAGTGTTGAGGTCTCTTCCCCTGCCAGGGCTCGGGTGGTCGCTCTGTGCTAGGGCCTCTGCCCAGCACGTGTGAGTCCCTGAGTTGCAGCTCCAGCACCAAGGCAGAAAGTGCATGTCAGCATTGTAAGAGCAAAGAGCTCAAAACTCGGAGTCCCCACCTGCGGCAGGACAACATGAGACCTGGCACTGTAGTCACACAGTATGATGCTGACCAAAACCAAACAGGAAAATTGTCAATGCCAGGGAGTCACAAAATAAACATGAAAACAGCAAGTGTAGAAGTGCACAAGAGTATGACTTGACAGATTTATCGAACAAATAAAATATAGGTGTTGTTCAGGGTACATGTGAAATGAATCGTAAAAAGCATGAATTAGCAATACTCGATTTAGATGGTAGATGCTTTGTAGAGACGTAGGATAAAAACGGATACACAAGGAGCTTGGAGTATTGATGGTGTTTCAGTTACCTACTGCTTCAACTCTTTAAAACGAGGTTTAAAACATCGGTTTAGCTCGAGCAGCTCAGTGTGGACAGCTTGATAGAGACAACTCTGTGGGCTCAGCCAGAACAAAGGCCGCCTGGTGGTGGCGGTGCAGTGTTGGGGATGGCTTCCCTATGCTAAAGCTGACCATGCTGTTTGCTGGGCATTGCAGTGGGACTGAAGCCCAAATGCCTACGTAAGTCCCTCTGCTTTGCTTCCATGCCCCACATGGTCTAGTGGCTAAGTTCTAAGAACAAGGGTTGATAGCCAGGAGAGGCCACATTGCCTTGCTTACTGGCATGAGAAGCCATCGAGTCTTCTGTTCATCAAAGAAATCCTAAAACAGCATGGTGGGGCACGCCTGTAATCTTGGCACTTGTGAGGTGGCCAGCTTAGGCTACATAGTTCAAGGCCAACCTGAGGTACACAGCAAGACTGAGCCTCAAAACAAATAAAAATCCCCCCCAAATTAATGTAGCGAAGTTTCAGGATACAAAAGCAACACAAAAACTAGTTGCATTCTGCACGCTGACAATGACAAGCCAAAAAAGAAATTAAGCAAATCACATTTGCACTAGTATCACAAAGAATAAAATTAGGAATAAGCTAAACCAAGGAGGTGAAATACTTGTACACTGAAAACTACAAATCTTGCTGGAAGAAATTAAGCTAGATGAAACCACCCATGTTCAAGAACTGGAATATTCAAATATTGGTAAAATGTCTACTACCAAATGCATTCTGTAGGTTCAGTGAAATCCCTATCAAAATTTCAGTGGCCTTTGTTTGCAAATCTTAAAAATCCTAAAATTCATATACAATTTCAGAGGGCTCCAAGTGACAAAAACTAATATTAAAAAACTGGAGACAGCTCACTTCTTCAACTTCAAAACAAAGTTACCATAACCAGAATAGTGCCATGAAGACAGACATGGAAACGGGCCAGACCCAGGCCCACAAGATGCACACAAGGCTCTGGTAGGTGGATGACTAGAATCCATGATGGCCAGGAAAGCTGTCCAGGGGCCCAGCGTAATTGGCAAGACCGACAGTATGGGAGTGTCTGAAGCAGCAGTCGAGCTCTCCAACAGAACAGCAGTCCCAACCCCCACATCCAGTGGCCATGATCAGCTCCATATACAGCACAGTTCTGTGGCAAACGAAGCTGGAGAACACAGCACATTTTTGGAATCTGACATGGTCATTATCACAGAACTGTAAACACCACAGGTATTTTACTACTTTTATTCTCCCTTGGTTGTTTGATTGGCTGATCCTTTCCTGTTTGGTTGGAATTCATCTTGTCTTATATTTTGTGGTTATTTTTATTTTTAGGGGTTTTTTTTTCTTTTCTTTCCTCTCTCAAGTATTGTCTTTCTTTTCCATTCTCTTTTTCCCCACTGTTTCTTACTATCTTTTTTGTTTTCTTCTTTCTATTGATGCTTTCTTAGTGAGTAAACATTGTCTCTTTTCTTTCTGATTACTGCTTTACATTTTATCTCATTCTTCCCCTCCTGTGCTTTCCAGTTTCCCAGAACTGGGGTGATCATCATTGGACTGCCAGCCTTTACTGTATTTGACCTCAGTCATCACTTCATGCTGTCCCCTACCCATCTTAACACACACATACACTGCGGAAGGGTAAAAATCACTCCTCTAAAGGGAACATTACTGCATACAAGTACATGTTTGACTTTGTTACGTAACTTTAGAATTTGCTCCTATGGTTCAAGGTAGCAGGTTAATGGTTACCATTATTTGTCAGAAGTTAAGCTGTACTTGAAACTACTGTTATTACTAACTGAACTACTTTACTTTAGCCCTGATGTTATATATTTTATAATCATTTTTTCTCCCTTGAATAGTAACACTGTGATTGTATGTTATAATCACCGCCACAACCAAGTGCCAGAGGATTGGGTGCCCAGCCAGATAGTAACTTTGCATCTTTTGCAAATTGGGAAGGTAGGTTCTTGGGATAGCTATAAATAGCCACCCACATGTACAGGACAACTCTGCAGAACAGACATCCACTACAGAAGCCTAAATACTAGTGATAAGGCTATCATAATAAATCAAGCATCAACACAGAAAAATAAAAAGACACAGAACTAAAATGTACCCCCAGACCTCCAGCCCTCTCAGGACAATCCTGGGGCACAATGAGGTAATGAATTGGATGTCAAACATTGGAACTTTCTGAAATGATAGCAACAGAAGTGAAAAAATGAGTTGAAAAGGCTATTGAAATAATCTCAGGTACAAGAAGTAATGATACTTAAAAGATATTAGAGAAGATACAGTAAAATAATAGATGGACTTAGAAAAATGATGGAAACAAAAAATTCCCAACATGGGGTAAAATGGAGTCCATGAAATAGATTCAAACAAATCCAAAGATTAAATATTCCATTGAAAGTATATAGAGGCCAGGGAGATGGCTCAGTAGAATAAGCACTTCTCTGGCAAGCGCAAGAGTCTGAGTTCAATCCCTAGTTCCAACAAAAAAAAAATGTGTATGTACTAAATTGAATTTCAGATCTTGACGATAATGGCAGCTAGTGAATCATGAAGAGAAAGGTATATTAAAAATAGCAAGAGATCATGAAAAATCAACAAGTAGAATATTAAGCAAAGAAGAATAACATGATTAATTGGTATCCTTGACAAAGCTAAAGACAAATGAAAAAAAAAAAAAAAAAAAAAAAACACTTTAGAAATAATGACAGAAAACTTCCTGACCACGGATAAAAAATTTGGCATAACTATAAATGAAACATGTAGAACTCCAAACAGCCATCACCAAAATGAAACTACGCCAAAGCATATAAGTTTCCAAAATTCAGCACACAAACAAATATTAAAAGCTGTTAGAGAAGAGAAACATCACCTATAAAGGAAAGCCCGTCGGAATCATGGCAGATTTTGATCCCCAGACTGCCATGCCAGCCCCCCACTAGGGCGCGCTGAGATGAGACGGAATGGTGGCTCATGCCTCTAATCCCAGTGCTTGGGAGGCTGAAAATAAGATCACTATGAGTCCAGTCTGCATAGTGAGACACTGTAGATTCTGTACTAAATACAAAAGAAGAAGAGGAAGGGGGAGGGGGAAGAGGAGGAGGAAGAGGAGAAGAACTTAGAGTGAAGTGTTTCAAGTCCTGATAAAAAATAACTTCCAACCCAAACTGATGTACCCTGCAAAATTATCTTTCAAAATTAATGGAGAAGTAAGGTACTTCCATGACAATAAACAACTAAAATTCATGCTATAAAGCCAAAATTATAAAGAGTGCTGAAAAATATTCTAGACAGAGATAAAATGACCATAATTCCAAGAACAGCAGAAATAGACCACCAGGCAAAGCAAGCAATTTAACAGAGGAGAAAAGCAAGGAACCAACAGCTGGAAAGTATCATGACAAAGATAAGCCAATACACATCAGTTATAACCATCAATGTAAATGGCCTCAGTTAACAAGTCAAAAGAAACAGGCTGGCAGAATGGGTCGAGAAGCAAGATCCAACAATATGCTATATACAAGAAACATTTAACTCAAAAAGAAATTCATAGATTGAAAATCAAGGAATGAAAACAATTTTTCATACAAGAACCCAGAAAAAAGCAGGGGTAGCTATCATGCTTGTAGACAATGTGAACTTCAAACAAAGAATAACCAAAAGAATAACAAATATTACATATTAGTTAGGGGAAAACTTCAAGAGGAAAAAAAATCAATTATAAATATGTATGCACCAAATACAGGAACACCCAACTACTCTTCCTCCTCCTCCTCCTCCATCCTC